TATTCAAGTTAGTCTAGATACTACTCCAATTTGACTAAGAAAGAAAGGAAATGGTTAGCCGAAACCCTTGAAGGGAATCACAACTGGGGCAAATCACCACTAGACAATGGTCGTGGGACTGTGGAACTGTCTAGGGCCAAATGATGCAGAGCATGTCGCTGGGGGCCCCATGACACGTGCTGCGTTACTGTGCCCTTTGGCCTTTTGGAAGCTTACAAAAGGTCGGTCGACTCTTGGACCCTTTTTGATACATATTAGATATATCCCGAGCCCATTCTTGGGGATAATTTCTGGAGATTTGGGAGTTATATAGATCCTAGAATTCTAATATTTGATTTTCAAATCCTAGAAGACCTAGAAATAGATATAGGTTTCCTATTCCTAGTAAATCTAAGAATCAATTAATGCTTATATAAACTCCCTCTGGTGCCTTTTAGAACATTACCGACCTTAGAAACTTGCAGAAACCTTGGGTGCCTCATAATTCAAGTCATCCTTAAATTTTCGCCTTTCAAATCTTAGAAACAATAGGTCCTTAAGCCTCAGTTCTTTGCAATTGTAGCAACCATGAAACCTTAAAATAGCTATTGAAATCTAAAAACCAAATCCTTAGGAAGGACATGCCGTAAGAAAATCATAATACAAAAGCCATAGAATGAACATGCCCTAAGAAATCATAACTTAGGAAGAATATGCCTTAGGTAACTTCCTTGTTTCAAGAGATCACTCTATGATTGAGGACAAATATGCTTCAATTGCTTGTCTAATCATGCTACTGACTCTGGGCGCTGGGCTTGGGGGGCTGGCTTCCAAGCAAGTAAATTCTTTCGTTTTTCAATTCATTTTCTTTTTATCTGTGCTCTTTTGAGCTTTTGATGGTTTCTTTATGGGTTTTTTTACATGATTCTAAAAAGGTTATGCCAATGGTATATGAGGAAAAGATCTATTCCAACGGATTGACTTCTCATATGTTATAATTCAACGAATCCCACTCTTTTCTACTGGGTTTTAATTGATTTAGTTTAAAGTATAAAACACAGAGGATTCCATTCGAGATCTCCCAAAATTTGGCTGTAAATGGTATTGTAAGCTTCAATTTAGATTTTAAGTCAAGCTAGCACTATTACCCCACTAGAAATAAATAGCAATTAAAACTGGAGTCCATATTTTGAGGTAATTACCTATCACATTTCTAACTTCGTTTTTAGTTATGTAAGGGATCCTGACATCAGGTTCTCGTTCTCTTGTCTTTACATTTATTCAAATCCCTCTATTATTGAATCGCAATGTACGATCAACATTGTTTTATTTGTATACAAAAGGATTTATGTGGCCACAACTATAAAATAAAATGGATAGTCATAGAGTGAACGAATCCTGCCTTGGATCTTGATAATATGAAACAATGAGTTGGAATTGGAATAGGTTTGGCAGCGGATCACGAAAGCCCTAACATTTCACTCCTTACCATCAAGAGATTTAATCTAAGACCAAAACGAAAGCCTAGGCAATTGAAAGAAAAAATGGATAATGCATTTATAATGGATTCTACCAAATTGAAGCCAAAAGTAAAAATGAAATTGTCAGAGATTGACCCACTTAAATTTAAATAGGGCCTATTGATGGGACAACCATCCTAAGCATATTCTCCGGTTTATGAGCAATCAAGCTTTTGTACGAGAAGGACATTTAAATCACAAAATGTTATGGCTATGGTCTCATTCAATGTGAAGTTCCAATATGTACTCATTGGATCAGAAGGATTTGCCATTTGATACACATGCATGGCAATATGCACTTAGCAATATGCATTTAAATATGTACATAGAAGGTTATAAATGTTAAGGGCAAGCTTTCTATGCTTCCTCTACAACATAAAATTTATATATTTCTCCTTATCCATCCGTCCATTCTGAATGGAGGGCTAAGATTGCCCCAATCACAATGTCACGTCTCTATATTATTTTATTTTTAATTTTTTTTACAAACTATTTTAATACTAAAATTTTCACGTCCAATCCTCTATTAAACTAGCACTAGCAAAAAATAAAAAAAAAAATATTTTCAATAAAATAAAATGACTAAAATATCCCTGAAAGATTTTAGGGGATTTTGATCATTATATTTTATCGACAAATTATTTTTTAATAGTTTGTATAGGTGCACCCCAATGAGAAGATGGCATGTACCAAAATTTTCATATTCATACAATTTGTATAAAAAAAACTAAAAATAAAATACTTTGAGACGTCAGATCTAAGATCAAACGGTGAGTAACTATCCTGATCAAACTTGTACGGCTGGATGGTAGGGGAAGCATAGATCTTCTACAATGTAGAAGAAGTATAGAAACCTTTCCCAAATATTAATGATATTTCTTTGTAGAGAAGTACTTTGTCAAATGTGTTTGGTACCACTTGAATGAATCCATGATCGGTTCCACTCCTTAATGCGCAAGAGAACTATTTAAGTATTGCCATTCATCCTTGAGAAATGTTAATAGAATGCATTTTTGGTGCGTCGAAGCGAAACCATCTATCCTCCAAACACCGTTAATGCACAACGTCTGAACACATGTTAAAATTGTCTGTATTCTACATAACTTGATGTTATATGTAAAGTACAAACAATTTGACCTGCATGTGCTTAAAGATGAAATTGAGCAAGTCATGGGGGTAAGGGGCAGCGCAAGATAGGGTTGATAGCGAGTAACAACTAGAAATAGAAATAGAAATGCTAGGGAGTAGGTCACAATGGGATATGGATGAAGGAAAATGGATGGAATAGCTAACTTGATGTGAAGTGACGATTAATCTCATATATTTATTTTGTCTTTTAAGTAGAACTTGAAAGAATTGTATGAGAAAGCACAATTTGCCTAATTCTAACTGAGATATTCCTTGTTCTTATGTATTGGCTCATATATGATTGCTGATAATGTTTAGGGATTTATGCATATCTATTGCTAATAATTAATAATTCTTCTTAATCTTAGTGGTTTTGGTTAATATGAGACATTACTTAAGGTTATTGCCCCAAAACAAATATGGAAGGATTACATATGTGTGTCGATTGTTACAGCTATAAAAATCAATTCTATCAATCTAAACGTTATTGGTAAATAGAAATGGGAAAGCTTTCTATGTTTCTCCTACAACGTAGAAGTTCTATCTTCCCCTTATCCAATCATCTATTTTTAAATGGAGTGCTAAGATTGTCGCAATCACAATGTCACGTCTTTATATTATTTTATTTTTAATTTTTTTCTATAAACTATTTTGACACCAAATTTTGGACGTCTATTCCTCTATTAAACTCGCACTAACAAAAAATATATATAAAAAAATATTTTCAATAAAATAAAATGGCTAAAATACCTCTGAAAATTTCAAGGGGTATTTTGATCATTATTTTTATCGAAAAATTATTGTTAATATTTTTTATAGGTGTATCCCAATGAGAAGATGACACGTACCAAATTTCATATTTAAAAAAATTATATTAAAAAAAACTAAAAATAAAATGTTTTGAGACATCGGATCTAAGATCAAACGGTGAGTGGTTCTCTTGATAAAAAATAGATGGCTAGATGATAGGGGGAGGATATAACTTCTATGTTGTAGGGAGAACATAGAAAGTTTTCCCAATAGAAATTAGAACTGAAAATAGACACACCTTGATGGAGCTAGTAATTGTTCTATATTTTATAGGTACTCGCCTGGTTCTGTCAGGGAACTAGGTAAGTTTGTTAGGGAATTGGGTAATTCAGATTGATTGATCGGTCCAATTTCCACCTATTTTTTATTATTTATTTATTTTTTAATTTTAACTTTTAAATTTTTTAAAATTTTTTAATTTTTTTGAGAACTAATTATCACACTGGAAAATCATCCCATTACCTCAAATAAACATTATAGATTGGTCCAGCCAGTATCACACCCTACAAGATTCTAGAAGAATTAATTGCAGATGGCATTCATCCGATTGTACTTGCTTTCAAATCGTGTACTATTAGATCAAGCAAGATGTGAATTTGTTTTCTGATTTCAGAAAAGTTTAGAAAGATCCACAAGAGAGCGAGAGGTACGGGCTCAATCTCACCTTAAACTTTTCTTTCAAGATTAGTACACATTTCTGTTACAAGTAGGGGTAGCAATGGACCCAGATCTGACTCGAGAACCGATGGGTAGACCCAAATCTGATATGAGTGTGGGTCCAAAAATTGGACCCGGTAGGTCGGGCCAGGGTCTAAATCTTGGATATGAACACTATTTGGATCCAGGTCTGTGTCTTATCAGGTCCAGATCGCATGTTATATTTTTGGATTAATTGTTTAGTCCCAATATATGAAATATATTTAAATATAGGATGCAATTTCTATAAGGCCTAGGCTTTATAAAAACAAAGTAAAGCCTTACCTCGAATCCTTGTCTGGAAAGGAATTTGGGCATCGTAAATCCCCATGATACTTTAACATCAATTTTCAATACCAATCATTAAATTTGAAGCTAAAAATATGGTACAGATCTTGTGGATCTATAAACACTTATTTTTAGAGCGAAATGGACGGAGATGATCAACTTCAACTTTTTTCGACTCCAGAACTATAAATTTCAGTGAGTTAGAGGTGAGGCTTTACTTATTTTGATAGGGGTGCAGCCTTATAAAAATATTTGTTTTAAATATAGATATTTTGATTCTTGGGCTAGGTCTGAGTGGGTCCGGTCCGGTCCAGATCTAGATCTCAGCTTATATTTTCTGATATAGGTCTAGGTCCGGGTCCGGTGAGGCTTCCCCAAAATGATTAACTTCAACTGTTTCATTAATACAAAAAATCAATCAAAGATTTCCCAAAGTCAATAAACTTCAACTATTTTAATAAGTGTCAACTACAAAGAAAAGGCAGTTTTATATGTGACCAAGCACATGTATCCACAAAAATGCTAGGTGGAAACGATTGAAAGAGCCCTTTGCCTTCCACTTAATGAATAGGGTGGGCTTCACTTTCCTTTTAGTTCAAATGGCATCCCTTTCGCATGCTTAAAAGCAATTGAAAGTTCCACCTACCCAAACATTAAGTAGATTTTACTTAGTGTCTTATTTTTCAGTTAAATAAGTCAATACTTCTTTATTTGTCTCTATCAGAGTGCTGGGAATCTCTATCTAACCCACTAAATAGTGCACAAATAAACCCTATGAAATAATGTTATATGTGACTAGATTGACACGTGTAATCCTATAAATAAAAAGTCATATATCACGATGCTAAACTGAAGCGTCCAATCAAAATCTATGGATTGAAAATGGATTGGAGCACTGAAATCTCTTTGAGTGAGGTAGATTATATAGCCAAAAGATAATCTACTCCTGCGGGAGTAGAGTGACCATTTACTCCCTCGGTAAAACCCCAACTGGAGTTCATTATTTTGGGGATGTAACATCTTTAACCCATAGATTAACCTCAATAAAAAGATTTTTTAATCGGAGCTTGCACTTGAAAAAGATAATGTATCCATATTGAATAAAGAGAATCCAATTTTTGGATGGTGAGATCCATATATTAGAAAATTCAAAATTGAGATTTTTTTTTTTTTAACAATAATCATCTAGTAATATTTGAGGGTATGGTGTATATAAGGCCGATGTCCTAAACAATCAAAGTAAGGTGCACACACCTTCAAATAGTTTCAAAACATGCCAATTCAATATAAAAAATATTTAAGATAGTTTGAAATTTTATTTTTATATCTAATTATAAAATTTAAATATTAAAAAATAGTATAGACTCGACAAATCTACAAACATTATTTTTCTTGAAATGTATTATTTACATACTTGAAATCTAATTTTCTGATGTCCATACATATTGAGGTCGAGATCCACACATGTTAATGTTGAGATGATCGAATTGAGGATTTTCAGCATCAAAACAATACGAGTACGTTTTTGAGGTGCACTTTGATTTGATTATTTTGGAACTCACCCTCATACAGCCTTTTCCCATTCTTAAATGGTTCGCAGGTTCCAGTTTAAAAAAACTCCTCCCTCATCAAGCCATTAAAAGAAAAACTCCTCATTCAGTCTTGTGACTAAGGGAGTAGAAGTGGGGTCCCGGGGCACATGGAATACGTGCTCATGAATACGAAAACAAGTGAAAATGACAGAAAAAAGGTGACACGTCATTGAATAGAAGTCCCATTAACCGGTATGAAAAGGTTAAAAACCATAAACAAACTTTATAATTCTATTTACTTTATTATTATTACATTCTCCTCCCTTACTTTTATTTTTTTTTTGACGACTGAGTGGGAAGATCTCCTACACAGGTATAGAAATAGAGCCTAAGATCTAATGCGGTGAACTTATCACCCAACACAACACGCTAGCCATTTAACCCGGGCTCGGTTCCTCCCTTACATTTTCTTCCCTTACATGGGGTATTGTTCAGTACCATAATACTCAGCAAGATTATTCTCATTCTCTAGCAGACCTCACATTTTCAAGGGCTAGAGAGAGAGAGAGAGAGAGTAGAGAAGAGATTAAGGAGACCAAGAGAGAGAAGATAAAGAAGAACAAAAGAGAGAGTAGGGAATTAAGGAGACCAAGAGAGAGAAGATGAAGAACAAGAAGAAGATGAGGAAGGTGATGAGGTAGAGAGAGAACAAGTGCCCAACACATTCAATGGCTTCCTGATGCCGATAGGCACAATATCTTCGAGTAAACCTTCAAAACTTGTACTTCCGGGCGATAGCGACACCCCACTTCCACCTCCACCTCCACCTCCACCTCCACCTCCACCTCCACCTCCACCTCCACCTCCACCTCCACCTGCAACGCCGCCACCACCACCACCACGACGACGACCACCACCACCATTGCCAACCGCCCTTTTGTCATTAAGGTCTTGGGTGGAAGTACCCTTATCTTGGTCACCCATTAATGTAGAGGTTTCCAATAATGGGTTTGCTTTAATTTTTTTTGCAAGTGTGTGGGTTAGTGGGTCTACACTATTATTGTTATTATTATCAGTAGAGGCAATAGGGTGTTTGCAATCAAAGTGGGTGTGTCTTGTTTTAGAGAGTTGGTTGGGGGGTTGAGGAGGAGGGGCATAGGTTAAGGGGTGTCTTAATTGAAAGTGGGAGTAGGCATAGTGGAGGTGGAGTCCTTCATAGGTTATGACAAGTGTGTCCGGGTCCTCTATTGATTTCTCTACCTGCTTTTTGGCACTGCACCTTGGGTTCGTGCACCTGTAATAACTCCTGCCTCAACCAATTCCCAATATTTAAATAAAAACAATTAGTCATGTCATGCAGGTTGGGCTACTAAAGATGGAGTAATAAAAAAGTTAACCAACTAATCAAACATTAGGTGAACTTTTAAGAAGAGACGAGGGGCTCCCAGGAATATCCACGCTATTAAAATAATTTGGAAATGGGATTTGTACCCAAATAATCCTTCGGTTGTGGACCAATTATAAAGTGCAAATGGGGAGCTCTCTTGGGTGTTTGATGGACCCGACATGTTGTTGTGGGTTGGGCCTGATTTATAAATAAAAAACTTATAAATTTTTTTTTTATATATCTTATGCTACATTTGGTATGCAATGCATATTGAATATATTCGGGTCTGACCTGCTAGGACCAAGCCAGACCCATACCCATACCCAACTGGACCCTGTTGGGTCAATGCTTATTTTTTATATCTTTCTCTCTGAGTCTCTTATTTGCCTCTAGCTCTCAACAGCAAACAGAAATAGTCTTCATAACCTAGACCCGGACCGACTTGATGTTAGGTCCTTATTTCTAGGCCCGTACATAACCAATTGGGTCCAAAAATAGGGCCCAAAGCCAGATCCAAGTTGGGTCAACACCTCGGGTTAGTAGGTCGACCTGACCCGTTACCCACCCCTAGTTTCTAAGATTGTGAAGGGGATTGGTTTACTTACCCTTTTTGGTTTTAATTCTTATTTTTCATGCTTGAAAACTATGGAAATTCATTCCTATTATAACAAAACAGTGGAAATTTGCTGTTAAACCTTTCTGAAAATGGAAAATCAACGGTCGTCAGGAACAACCGGTCTGTGGGTGTGTCAAAATAAAAAGGAATATTTATATCCCACGAGTAGGTTAATTTGAACATGCTAGAATTCCCTATTGGGGGTGGAAAACACTTACCATTCAATCGGGATTTCCAGGGTTTCACCTGTAATAGTCCAAATCACTAATCACTTTCGCACTAATTAGGTTGTACTAATTTTTACTTGAATCGTAGGGGAACTATTTCGAGTTCGGCTATTCTCGATTTGGATAATCATACAAATACAATTGAACATAAAAATAAATAAAAAATCATGATAATCAGACGATTTTGGGGTTCTTCAAATTGGAATCACCCGGGAGTCAATTTTAAGTTGACTCACGGGATTCCAGAAAACCTTGGCGATATTTAAAACCCTGGTTAGAACAAAATGCTATTATAAATATATCAGGAAAAAATATAGCAAAATTCTAAAGATTAAAAGGGGCTGTGACACATTCTAGTTTCCTTACGGTTCTTCTTACAAGCCTTCAAACTTAATATCATTAGGGAAAGAATATAATGAGACTATTTACTTTTGGTACAAGGCGATCGCAAATAATCTTGACCATTGGATGTGAAATTGGATGGTTGCATTTATTCTATTGATCAAGCTCAAACTTCGAAAGAAATTTTCTCGAACTTTGTGACATACCTAAACTATTAAATTTTACATAAGATAATTATAAGTAAGTGTGACCTATTTGTATCAAAGATATAAAATTTTATTATGTAAAATCTCATATCATTAAGCAATAAACCATTGCTTTTATATGATCTCAAGTAGTTGAGCAGGTTCGGCTATCCATGATTTTAGTGAACCACCATATCAAAGGGAAACCTTGGGTACCAAAACATGGGTGGCCCAACTAGCTACTCTCAATATTCAAATGGTGATACGGGTGATACGCTCTCCCCAATTGTTGGACAATAAATGTATGAGTTTTCTTATGACGTTTGCTTTGAGAAATTCAAGGGAATGATAATTGAGAGGCAGATATTAGTCCTTATTTGTAAGATTGTGTGGATAAGGCTGTGAGGAAAGGATAAGGAGATTTCTGATTTCTTTTTCTCTATTTAACTAATTTTCCCATGTTTTTCTTTTCTTTTCCTTGAATATTTGAAACATTGAGATGCCCTTGCCCAAAGGTAAGCTGAGCCTAAGAGACTTGCTCTATGAAATTTTCGGCTTCAGTTACTGAAACATATAAATATATATATTTCTTATTTTAGTTGAAAAATCGTTAGAATAAGACTCAATTGATGATGATGAGGAAAAAAAATAAGAAAGTAATTTTTCTATCTAAGAAAATGAAAACAATTATTTTTGAGTAAAAAGAAAAAGGAGTGGCCCTCTTGTTTATTGAAGAAAACACCTAAGTCTTTTGAGAAATCTAGAAATGACCCTTTTGATTTTATATAAGTATTATTTCTACTAATGCAAACCATAAGCCATTCTAGGCAACTAAACTCCATAGAACTACTCAAATTTCTTTAAAATTTCATGGACAAACATTTACAAATTTTAGATAAATACGATTTCCACCTCATGAAACACTCATGGGATGCATAAGAGACAAAATTATAAGAAGGGGTTTCAAAATTATTTTGAGATAATTATTTTTTCTTTTAAAGTGCACTTGATTACTAATACAAAAAGCGATTTTCTAGAAGAATCACATTCTCATGTGAAATAATCTCAAAATATTATATGCTCGAGCGACAGCCTATCCTTGGTTCATTCCCCTAGGTAAAACCCAACATCAACTTAAAAAAGAAAAAATAAATAAAAGAAAAAACAAATTTAGGAGCCTAAAAAATAACACCATGAGAGACTATTCATTTTTTTGGCAATCAAATCCATGTTTTTAAGAACTCCAAATCCGAATTTTCTTTGAACATAAATATCTAGTACTTCTTAGGTTATAAAGAAGACCCTCCAAAGTAACTCTTTTGCCCAAGGGAGTAAGTGTACTATATTGATACAAGCTCGCAATGCTAGCGGCACCCTTAAAAGAGCAATGAACATGTCATTGGAAACGTTAGGGATGGCAATGGGCTGGTCTGGTCGGCCCGGCCCAGCCTGGTCAACTTGCCCCTAAAAAAGTAGGGCTTGGGCAACAAATTATGGTCCAAGGGCCAGTAATGACCAGGCCTAGCGCTCTTCTTTTTTTTGTTTTTGTTTTTTTTTTTCTTTTGTTTTTAGCCTGACCTGACAGATGGGGACAAGGGCCAGGTTTGCGCCGCTCAGACCCAGCCCGTTGCCACCCTTAGGAAAAGTATAAAAAGTTATCCACACACCACATAAATATGGTGTGCAATACACTGTAGGGGCATCCTTCATCCATATTGAATTGGAGAATGGAGTGGATATGTGGTATAATTACGTGAAAGGGAGCTGGGGTCACGGTGATCGTACCTTCATACATTAGTTGCAAAATCGTGCTTTTCAATTTCACTGACAGTATCAGAAACTTAACCATTTAAAAAACATGTAGCAGCCTGCATTCCCCACTGAATTTCCCAAAAAAAAAAAATGTAGCATAATTACTTTTTTGGGTGCTCATTATTTTTGGGTGCTCATTATTTCTCAGTCCTCATCAATATGGAGTTTTCCCTATCTGAGAATGCCAAAGAGCACAATAATAAGGAAGCTCCCATGTCAAGAGTACTTTTAAAAGTAGAGGTGCAATTACAGTTTGAAAAAGAATGATCCTTTTTATAAAGAATTTAGAACCCAAAGGAAAAAAAGTGCGATAGGTGGCACCGCATTTAAGGAAAAATATAGATTTCTGGGATGTGACGTGAATAAGAGTTTCCTTTGGTTAGAGAGAATACACGAAGAGAGAGAAACAAAACAGGCTATCAAGCTGGGTAGAAAGAGAAAAGAAACAAAAATAAATGGTGAAAAGTTAAAGAGAATGGAGTGAAAGTACCTTGGATGGGGGCTGTTTTTTATTGACTTCTGACCATATTTTCGCCATTGATAACCGTCATCTGCAACTCGATTACCACAACTTTTGATACTCAGTGTGTATTTATTGTCCATCTTATTCCTCCCCTTGTCCAGCAATGTCACTCTGAATCCACATCCAACACATGATCAGAGGAGAGAAAGAGAGAGAGGATTTAAGGAAATAAACAGTCCAATTACAACAGAAAACCAGACACGAGAAAAATTCAGGGAGAACCTTTTAAAGATCCACAAAACATCATGAAATATATACATCAGTAATTATAGCCTACGAAAAATAGAATGATCTAGAGAGGACAAAAAACACAAATTCGAACTCACGTTGATCGTAAAGCGCTGTGATCCTCTCGTTTGGAACCTGGATCATCTCGTCTGGCTGCTGAGAGGGCAGTCTCAATTTCGTCGATTGTTGGCCCCGAGTAAAGCCTCGACAAAAAACTGCTAAGGCAAGCTTCTGGACCAGTATTTGGCAATAGCAGAAATGGAGTCTCATCGTCTAGAAGCTCTCTCACCAGCTCCTCACCCAATCCATCCGACCAATTCTCTCTCATCTCCTCACTCTCAGCCATGTTACTGAAGGAAAACACAGGCTATCATGACAGAGACGAACACTTACAACAAAAGCAACTGTAACTGCAATAGAAGTTGTAATTGCACCAAGAAGAAGAAATGGGAGAGGGAGATTAATTGAGGATTATTGTGAAGGAAGAAATGTGATGGGGTTTCCTGGTAATGGGAGAAGATGAATTTTAGAGGAAGAAAGATGGTTTTGGGTAAAGAAATTGAGCGAACAAGTGGATTATTAATACATGTCACATAAATGAAAGTGAGAGAGAGAGAGAGATTGATTTAGGTGTCATCCGAGTTAAACGTCAGGCTTTAACTACTGTGAGGAGAGGTTGAAGGATTTTTGTTTGACAGCGTTGACTTTTGTAGTCGTCGAGAGAGAGAATCCGACACAAAATTAGAGATTTTTCACGGATGAATCAGTGAAGATGACGGCCAAAGGCGTGCAGCACAAGGACTTTCTAGAACGTCTGACAATCTGGCCAGGACCAAAACGGTCACGGTATACGGCCAATTAGGGTCGTCAATGCCTTAACTCAAAAAAATAATATAAAAAAATATTATTTGTAATATATTTTTTAATATTTTTTATTGTTTTGAAAAAGACTAGGAAATATTTTGGCTATAAATATTTATTTTTATATTTACATTTTTTTTGGGTTATTTCTAAAATACCTCTTGTTACACAAAATGATTTTTCTCTATTTTTTGGTACCTTCTTTTAATCTCGTATTTTGTTTAATTAGACTTTAATTCTATTTTTTTATATATATTTTTTATTTTATGTTAGATTTTTTTTTAACCCTTTGTAACCCAATCAAGACCTGCGAGTTAGGGTATTTTCCTGGACCGCTTCCTCGTTACTCAGACCCAGCCTCTGTGCAAAGACGAGCATCTTTTCGTCTTGCGTTGTTTACTGGACAGAGAGAGATTGATTCATCCCTCGTAACACATGAAATTAATCTGAATCTAGTTAAAGATGGGCTATCATTTTGTGTTGTGCTGTGCGGAGTAAGAGAGAAATTCAAGGTTTTATGAAACAATGCATGAGATAAATTTTAGGATAGGTAAAGTTGGTAAATGGATTTGCTTTTATCTGTGTCACGTTATTCACGAGAGCGTAAGAGAGAGATAAGTGATGCTTTTGTTTTTTCCATTGAGAGAGATGGAGGAGAGGGAGATGGTGACAAGAGAGAGAGTGAGAGATAAGTGATGCTTTTCTCTTTTTTCCGTGAAGAGAGAGAGGAAGAGAGATTAGGTGATCATTTTGTTTTCACGTGGTTTGACTCTAAGTGATACAAGAGAGAGAGAGGGTGATCCTTTTCAGAGAGAGAGAAGGTGATTCTTTTGGAGAGAGGGATCCGGTGATCCTTTTGAGAGAGAGAAGGTGATCCTTGTTTGTTTGTGTGTGAGAGAGAAGGTGATTATTTTGAGAGAGGACGAGAGTAATGTTCTAAAATTTGTTTATGTTGGGTTTACGTGGCTTTTAAAGGGCTTATGAATGTTCGTAAAATGAAATGATATAGTGGATCATGAACTCAATAGGAGTGTGGTCCCTCATGGACCATATTAAAAAAATGATGGTTTGTTGATATCGATATGTGCTTAACGATCTAGGCCAATCAGTTGGGAAATACCCATGTTACCTGGGCATGAAAAATAAATCGATGAGGGTTTATGGGTTAGCCTTTGATGAGGTCGGAGAACATGCCCAGATGAGTGAGCCAAGAGACTGTGTGACCCTTTTGTGCGATGGTATCCTACAGAGACATGGGCCAAAACCTCGTCCATGTTCCATCACATAACATGCATATCGATAGATCGTTCGGGAAAGCCAGAAATCCACCTTTTAGGGTGAAGTGTATGCATGTATAAGAGATACCCCTTTGCGCCATAAAGCTGTGATCGCGTGAGATCTTGGTGATATTGATTTGTCTCTAGGGGTAGACTTGTAATCCACAGACTGAGATTGCAACCCTTGGCTTATCCGTCAGAATTTGGTGACCTACTAATGAGCCCCTGTTTGGACTGTAGGTCATGAGAAACACTGGGTCAGTTCGATAAGGCAAGTGTGGTTTGTAGTCCACAGTTGAAGGTGAAGTGCCCCATGATTGCAGATTAAATTCCTTAACCATATGAATCTATTTCCCATCAAATTAATTTAATGATATTTGTTTTATTATAGAAATTCTTTTAGAATTATTATATGAATTTTTATGAGTCATTTGATATTTTATTTATAATAATTTTTTGTACTTATAAAAATGAAGATATTGATTTTACAAAATTATAAAATTCAAATAATGTTTTAAATTTCTTTTGATAATTTAAAATTATATAAAATATCATAGAGGGGTCCATAATGCACATAGGCCCAACATGTATCAAGTGGGTAGGGCCTACATATGCTACACATGGGTGGCACACCCCACCTAATGGATTCATTCTTGGAGTTTAAGTTATTTCATGTTTTGGTAATATTATGTTATGGTATGTGGTCAAATAAGATATGAAATATTTTGACCAAATATTGACCAAATATTGAAAAAGTATATTGACTTGATATATCTTTGGAATATTTTGTGAAAGATTATGGAATCTATAATATTTTAATTAGATATAAGTTATCTAATTTCTATCGATGGGAAAATGGTTAAGGAAAGGGGGATAATGGTCAATACACATTCCATAATGTTGATGGCCCATCTATGGAATGGATGGCTCAGATCTCTCACCCCACAAGTCACCCTTGATCGACGGTCTATGTTCAATCTCACAAGAAGAGGCAAGCCAAGGAAAACCCTAAGAAACTCTAATCTTGTTCAAGCCTATAAAAAAGGGGTTGTCTCTACCTAAAATTTCTTCACCTTATCTTTCTATCTCTCTCTTAAGAAAGTTTATCTCTCTCATGTTTTATATTTCTCTTCCACATTGTCAAAGAACCTAATGGTTTAGGTTATGGAGTTCTTCTCTCTCCTATCTCTCAAATTTGGATTTATGGTTAAGTTTTAAGGTCTAGTAAAAAGAGAACCCATCTCTCTCAAACTAGGTTGCTAAGAGAATTCACTTAGGGTTTGAGTTTGTATTCAAAGGGGTTCATGTTCCATTGGTGTGGCTTGGCCGAAATTTGCTTTCCCAGTTCGAGATTGAAGTTAGACCGTTGAGCCCTGGCCATCGGATGGTGGTGGCTCGGTGTGGGGTGCAATAAGCCCGATTGAGGTAATCTCCGGCACTCTTCATTTTCTTTCTTATAATCTTATCTTTTATTTTCAAGCATAGTGCATAGTTGTTTCAATGACATCAAGTTGTTAAGATCTTAGTTTTATTGTTATGTTGATTTTATTTTGAAATTTATCTTATTTTAATAAAGGCCACATGTAAGTGATCTTTTGTCAAAAGAAAGAGGTGAAGAAAAAAAAAAAAATGCAGTCCCTAGTAAAAGATCGCATAGGTCTTTCTTTCAGTTTCGCATCGGCTGAAGAGGCCGAATCTTTTGGATTTTAGGGAATTACCGAAGTGAAGAAAAGCTTGGTGCTGCCGCTTTGGTCAGAAAAGAAATACCTATATAAAAGTATATTTTTAAATTATGTAAATTTTAAAATTTTTTATTATTTTATATTTTAAATATTTAATTTATTTATATAAAATTAAAAAAATTCGATGTCTTCTCCCGAATCTATCGAAGCACCGAATTGCTTTATTTTTCTCACCAAACCAAAATAAAAAGTTCGAAAGGAATCTGGGCGAGAGAGATGAGTTGATCCTTTTGAGAGAGAAGGTGATATTTTAGAGAGAGATGGAGAGAGATCAGGTGATCCTCTTGTTTTTAAGAGAGAGAAGATGTTCCCCTCTAGAGAGAGATTGGGTGATCCTTTTGTTTTTACGCGGTTGACCACTGGGAATTTGGGGACGAGAAGAGAGAAGGTGATCCTTTTGAGAGAGAGAGAGAGAGAGGAAGAGAGAGATTAGGTGATGGCTTTCTTTTTAAGTGGTTGACCTCATGAGGGAGAGTTAGTGAGGGGTCTGGACACAAAACAAGCGTTGACTAAACAGACTGTGTCTCTTTAACGTATAGCTACGGAGAGTAAGTCAGCCTTCGTACCTGCAACAATATAATTAGGGTAAGGGGTTCTATAGTCAACCCTCCTTTGGACTCATGCCGTGTGAGGCCCGCTGTGGAATTATAGAGAGGGTCGAGGAAGAAGACAGGTGATACCAAGGTGGGAGCTTCTTGTCCATAGTCACCTGCGTGATAGGGCCCAATGGGCCCCTGGCCCAAACATTAAGCCTGGACTCCATAGTCACGTGCATGGCATGGCCCAATGGAACTCGGGCCCAAAACCTTAAGTCTGGATAAAGACAAGGGAAGTGGGAGCTTCTTGTCCATAGTCACGTGCATGGCATGCCCCAATGGGCCCCGGGCCCAAAACTTAAGCCTGGATAAGGACGAGGTAACTACCACGATCTCGGCGCTAGAAACAGGTTTGGAAAGCTCGGTGGACCATGCAAGTTAAGGAGATGTCTTTTCCTACTAGGGTATCTCGAGAATGTGAAGAGAGAGAGAGAGAGAGAGAGACATGGTTGAGTTGGGGGGCCAAGACGAGTGGTAGAGAAGAGTCAACAAGTAAATATGTATGAGAGAGTAAGAAATGAGAGAGATGCAACGTTCGAAAAATTGAACAGGCATTCGAAAACGGCTCACGGTCTAAGTAATCGGTAAATCGACTTAATTGCGCAGGTCTTGGCTAGTTAACAAAATTAAAAATATAAAAATATGAAAAATATATTTAAAACTTGATCGAGTAAAGCACATCTAAATGAAGTTGAAAATTAATAAAATAAATAAATAAATTTTTAAAAATCTATTTGTGGCCTTGGTTATTTTCGAAATTTCTAAAAAAGATGAAATGTAAAAATAAGTATTCAAGGTTATAAATTTTATAATCTTGATCACAATGATAAAAAACAATAAAAAACACATTACAGACAAAACCCATATTTTGGAATATTAAAAAACATATTACAAACGAATCCCTTAATTTTTGGGATTTTATTTATTTTCAAAATGCTCGATCGGACAACCAAAATTGGATCAGCCAGTGCCCTATTCGGGTTTGATTGGCCGGTTCCAAGTTGGACCGGCCGAGGTGGCGAGGAGAGATTTTACAAGTTCCTCTAGCTGGACTTTTTATAAGTGCACATTGGTGCATGGTTTGTATAAGATGTCAAATGCGCACCTCCATACTATGTTGAAAGATGCAGTTCT